ATTAATAAAATAGGTTCTGTAATTGTTTGATATATAATTAAGTTTCACTAAAATTAATTTATTAAAAATATCTAATCCAATAAAATAATTTGAAAATAAACTATAAAATATTTTGATTGGAATGTAAATAGTCTGCCTAATAATTGCACTATCAATTATTTATATATGATTAGAATATACTAAGATAAGCTTACTGCAAAAAATAAAAAATTATGGAATTTCTTACTTAGAATTTAATTAGATGCTTTTCTTTTCTTTATCAATTAAATAATCTTCTTTTTGATAGGGCCACAATTTTATTGTAAAATTGGCTTCTAATTAATCATATTTGTTAAAAAAGATAATTTTATTCTATTTAAATTCACATGTCAATAAATCAAACATAATGCAGTCAGAATCAAAATATATCTATAAGAATTATTCTTAAAAAAAATGAATTCTTACAATTTCTTCAAATTTATGAGTATTTTTATTAATTTTAAGGATCCCTTAAATTTATTTTTATTTATCTATTCTAAAGGCAACACATATTTCTTAATTGTAAATTATTACAAAAATAATTTATTGATTCTTCATATAAACAATAAATTTCTTAGAATCAAAATCATAATCTGTAAAATTATATTCAAAATAGAGATTGACTTCTTCTTCTTGATTAATTGTATATATATTCAGTTAGTTCTGGTAGAAACAATATATATAATAATTTTATTGTTGATTCTCTTCTGTTTAATTGCATTAACTACTATTTTTGATCAAATTAGTAGTTAGCGTTTTTAAATTTGATTATTTTAGAATAGTATCTTCGGCTAAATCATCATTAATTTCTTAATTCCGCAATATTTAAATGAATGAATTGTTAGAAATTAAAATGCTATATCCATAGAGTTATTTTTCCAAATCGATGAATATCTTAAATTCCATTATTTATCCAGAATTTATGTTTAAAGGATATTTCTCAACTATTTGAATTAATTACTTTGATTCTATAAATTAATTCAGATTATGATCATCTTCCATTACATTTAATTCAATTACTAGTATCTAGAGAATTACTTATCAGATTCTCTCCATTCATTGATGTAATTTGTTAGCAATTATCATGTTTGGATAATGCTATTTTAAGAAAAATAAGACTTACAAACATATTGAGAAAATTTATTATTTTAATTTAATTTTTCAATGATTTATTCAAATTAATTTTTAAAATAGTGACAAAATAACATGATTCATTTATACTTAGAATATGCCGATACTTTTATTTATAAAACAATGTTGATAGTAAATATGTTTTGGTAATCAGTTTAAATCAAAATCCAACATTCACTTACTTAAGTATTTTTTTATTAAAGTTATTTAAATTTAAACTTATCTCTTTTCTCCATCTATTATTAAAATTAGAATTTAAAAATAAGAATTAAGTAAATATTTTGGAATATTAATTAAACACTATTACAATTAACATTAATATTTAATTAATTCATCTAATAGTTGATCCTAATCCATAAATAATTAAAATTATGACCTAAAGATTATAACTCAATAATGATTCTAACTTCTATATTTCTTAAATAAATTGTTAGAATCTTTAAGCATATAAATATAAATGGCAGGAAATATAATTATTTTAAATTTTCTGGTATTTAGTTAGAACATTACTAAATTAAATATTCCCCTTATATTAAGGATTCTAATTGTTTTTTAAAAGATTTTTCATATTTAATATATTTAAAGGTATTAGAAGCTGGTTATTAAATATGATGAGTAAGATAATTACATAGATTAGAAAAGAATTTCATATTGAATAGTAGCAATTTATTTATTATCGAGAAATAAAATTTGTCAAGGATGTGAAAAATGAATTAATTTACTAATATACATATTAAAATTTATATTAAATGTTGAATATCTAATCCATAACAGTATAAAATTAGATAAAGATACTATTCAAAATAGAAGGATAATCAATTAATGATGATAAAATTGATTAAATACTTGGATGCTAAAATATTAGCATCTTGCTTAAATTAAAATTCATTTATTTATTATGTTAAAATGGAAAATTCACTATAAATAAAGTAATACATTTATTTTTGAAATTTTGTTTAAATTATTTAATCAAGACTAGAAGGTAGTTTTTTTATCTGATCACTCTATCGAATATAAACCATAAATTAGGACAGAATACCATAAATTAGGACAGAATATTTACAAAGATTAAAGTTATACTATTTTAATAATTCACTTGTAATCTAAGAATCATATTTAACCAATTTAGTTTAGATATTTTCCTTTAGCTGCTAAATTTTTATTACATTGAACAAAGCTGATCTTATGAAATCCTTTAAGAACTTTATCAACTCCTGAAAATTAAAGCGATATTCCTTTTTAGTATTATCCAAGAATTTATAAGTAATTTTGCTTAACTTAAAGTATTTAAATATTCTTCTTCTCATTTCCAGAATTCCTCTTTTAAAATAAGAAAATTATGACTCCGATCATAACTTTAGGTCGAACTTATAGAATTTTTTGATTGTTTTAGAATAGAAGCTATTGGAGTAAATTATTGCTGACATCATTAATCAAATCAACATGCCATTTAATGATTTTTTCCAGTATTGAGTGATCTTTTATCAATTTTTTTAGATTCACAGTATTTTAGTATTTTGGATACTCATTAAAATTAGATTATTTAAATATATCTAATTTATTATCACTAAGAAAAAAAAATAGAATAATTCTTTAACTTAAATTAAAATGAATCAAAATTTAATCAAGTATCTTCCTTTTTTGTTTGATTTCCTCAGATAAAATTTTTTATATTTTATGACACTCTAATTTGACTCCCTAGTCAAGTAAAAAAATAATTATTAAAATTCTAATAAGAATTAACTTAGCAAATCTTTAAGTTTTCTTATACTTCTATCATAAATCAAAAAATTAATCTATTTAGAAATTTCCTGACTCGATAAAACTTCAATACTAACTATTTAAGTCCAAGGCTGATTATTTTTCTCTAATTCAAAGTGTTTTATAATAATCCATAGTTTAATAGTTTAAATTCTGGCTTTTCATAAATTTCTTTAAAAACTTTTTTGTTGAATTTAAGGGTTAGACATCAAGAATTCTTAAAACTATTTCAATTCCTTCAATTTTAATTTTACAAATTGTCATAAATTTTATTATCATAAGAAAATAATCTTAATTTTGCCACTTGTTTACTCTAAGGAACTTATTAGAAGAACTTATTATCAATAAGTTTTTTTTAAATTAATAATTAAGTTATTGATTTATGGATTTATTTTTTACAAATTTGATTTTAAGATTACAGGTCCATAAGAAACTAAATTGGAAATCATATTTATCCAACGATAATGGATGTTCCAATTTGAAGAATTTAAAATGTTTTATTTATAGCTATCTTATAATGTAAGGATCTTCTTATATAATTTTCCATCTTTTCGAAGTGTTTCAAGAAAAATCTGTCTGCATCCTTTATAACAGACAAGAAGTCATCACTTAATTTCTTTACCCAAAAGAAGTAATTAATTCAGTAAAGGCTTTAAAAGCAAACTCTTTACCTTTTTAGAAATTCTACCTGAGGTGAGTTATAACGCTTATTATCTATATTTAAATTCAACACCAGTTTTCAAGAAGCTTTCATTCTATTGCTTTATTGCGTATTTTATTTCTCCTAGGTAAGATTGATGAATTATTCCCTTGTGCTAGTCAGATTTTGGGTTTTAGAATATTTTTCTGTTCTGTCCTGAAATACATAATGTTGTTGACCCTAATAATAGAGCTCACAGCAAGGCAGTATGTCCTTTGTTATAGTTAGGCATACTTTAGTTCGCTTTGGATTACTGTATAATTTATAATAAAATTGTAAAAACCAAATTGTCTTGTGCTAGTCTCCTGTTTCTGATAATCGTACAACTCTGGTGTGTTTTCCACTTGTGATAATATATTTGTTTCTTTTGGTAGTTAGTTCTCCTCCTGTAGTTGGGCAATAGGTCGGTTGATACTTTATAAAATATAGCCACGCTCAACCTCGACTAACATTATGTTTGAGTCGGTTGAAAACTTTGAGATTTGAAGGAAAGGGGTTGCTAAAAAATTATTGAGGATTTGATGATATGCATTGAAGTTTATTGTCTTTGAAAAAGTTTATCTCATTAAAATCTAAAATATTTATTAAGGCTAAATGAATTTAAATAATTTGTTAATTGATATTGATTAATTCACAAAAATAAAACGAAAAAATATTTAAAATATTAACAAACTTTACATTATTAATTTTTAATACTATTGTATGACTCAATCTTAATCTATTATTTTTTAATTTGTGTAAAAATTTCCTCCTATTTATATTATAAATTAGATTGTAATTTGTTAAAAAAATTAACAAAAAAATATTGAGTTTTTAAAAATAAATAACTTTTTCTTTATTGTTTTTCACTTTAAAATTAAATTTTGTTAAATATATATATAAACTTAATAGATGAAGATTCATTAAAATAATCGATGAGAAAAGCGTTAAATTGAATAATTGTGCAATATTTAAGAATAATTAAATTTAGGGAATGCTGAGAAATGCTTTCCTCGCAAACCTAACATTTAAAAATATAGTTTACTGGAAAGTGTTATCTAAACATTAGATAAGAAATGTAATGGATTGTATTTTTATATTGATTAAGAATAAATTTTAGAATCTCCAAGGGAAACAGGCAAGACTGTAAGTTTATTATATTCATCCATGAATTGGTTATAAAAGAATAGAATAGAATAATAGAAATCCAAAATATAATGCTTGAAATTTTAAAATTATTAATGCTTCAAGAATCCATGCATAATTAAAATAGATAGCTTAAGAATTTAAGAAAACTGTTTATAGCCAAGTATATCTATGATAGGTTCAAGAGATTAATATTGTTTATTAGACTTTTAAAATTAAGATGTTGAAACTTAATTGATCTTTAATTTCCTTTTTGAGAATCTTTATTTATAAAAAACTACAATTAAATTATTTTTAAATGGCATCAATAAAAATAATATATCTGAATATATTTCATTTTTTGAAGCAATAAATAATTTATATGTCAGATGAGGGTTCTAATTTTTAATCTTAGACTAAATTTGTAATTAAGCTTTAAAATTTAATGATAAAGATGAATAATTAAAATATTACTATTTCTATAGGGGTCATCTGAGTATTAAGAAGAATCATAAGAATAATCATTGTATTCATCTCAGGAATAATCAGAATATTCAGAAGAACCATAGGATTCAGATGATAATTACGACTAAAAACAACAGAAAAAAATTATATTTAATAACCATAATATATACATAACAGCAATAATTTATGCTTAATATGATGACAATTGTTTGAAGGATGCTAATTTAAAGCCATTAGGAGATGAGTAGACTGAATACTATTGACCATCTAATTTGGCTCATTTCGCCGCTATTCATGTATATTTTTTTCTGAATATTAATCTATTTCAAATTTTCTTTAAATTAATAATTTAAATAAATTCTAGGCCAGATAATTATTAAAAAAAGGGATATACTTATAATTTTTTCATTCTGTAATATATCAACACTATCAGCCAACATTCATCTATGCTACATCAATAAATTGAATTTTAAATTTTCCATATTTTCTCATTTTTTCTAATTTACTTTCATATTTATGAATTTTTAATATTTAATATTTTAAATTTTATAATGCAAGAGAACAACTATTAATTATTGATAAAGTATTGAGACTTATAAAAATATTGACACTTGTTTTAACATTTAATTTTCTTCAAATCAAATGGGAAAAATACTAAAAAGAATTGTTTAATTTGTTATTTTTAGAGCATTAAAAGTAAAAGAAAATTGTATTCAAAAGAATTGCTTTTCGATTTCCTATCTGAACTTGATAATCATTATATGAAATGGATAAATATCTAACATTTTAGAGCGATTTTTAAAAAGAGTTATTTTTTTTATGTTCTTAAAAAATTAATGACCATCAGCTAAACAAAAAAATTTTCAAAGACACGCTAACGTTAAATTTAGATTTCTCATGATTTCCTTAAGAAAAAGTAACAAAATTAAATAATCAACTTCCAATTTATTTTGCCACTAAGATCAAAGATCACACGAACATTATATCTGAAAAATCTTGTATTTTTTCAGATAAAATAAATCAAGATGAAATACTGTCATCTTTTTAATGGTTTTACAATCATATAGAATACTTCTAAATTCTTTGTAACAATGATTAGTTAAACTCAACATATTATCATCTTATTGAAACATGTGCAGACATATTATTAAAATAATTGATAGTATATATTAGAATATCTGGATTTCTGTTTTATTAACTCCTAGATTTTAAGAATGTTATTGAAATTTATTTTATCATAAATATTTGTTTTATACTAAATGAGTTAATCAATATTATAAAAATTATCAAATAAAAAATATAATCTTAAAAATTTTTAATAAATTGAATTCATATTCTTATCAAATAGTATATGCAAGAAAGTTTAAAGCAAAGCTTACTTGAAATAATTTCAGAGATAGAATCATAAATTAGTGTAGAATCTATAAATATATGGAAAAATGGAGTCGAATTTGAACTTTAATTGATTAAAATATGTATTGCTCATAGTAGAACTAATTCAGAGAAGGAAAAAGAATTAGGAATTGCTATTGTTTGTGGAGGAGCGAGTTCAATTTCTTAGTTATCTCCAAGTGCTGAATTAATTGATGCTTTAACAGAAGCAGGAAAGTATTTACTATTAAATTTTTATGATAAACAAATTTAACACCCACTTAAAAAATATGAAATATACTACTATTTTGAAAAATTAAAATGGTCTATAATTAATCAATTAAAACTAGGGTATTCTGTTTAAAAAACAATTAACACAGTTTTGGATGGATTTAATTTATATATAAAGCCATCTAAAGATTGGATGATACATTTTTGTTGGGTTAAATTTATATCTGATTTGATGACTTATAGACCAATTGTTAATAAATTTTCACTTCCTTAAGCTTAAAATTCTACTCAACTAAATTGGAATGAGTTAATTGTTTCAAATTAGGTTGTATAATTACCTTATGATAAAGCATCAGGTAAACTTCAAATTTTTGGGAAAAAAAATAAGCTTTATTTGAAATAGTTTCATTAATTAATCTTATTTTAAGAGTATTTATTAGATATATAAGAAAAATTTTAATTGCTGCCCTTTTATTCTATGTTCTCATTTAAAAGCCTACATATAGAATTGATTAGCGATTATGATTTAAATATTAAAAAGTTAATAAGTGAATCAAATTTAGAAATAGTAACAATATTAAATGATAATTTAAAAATCTCCAAAGATCAATTAATTAGTCTTTTTGATACAATCATTTAATAATTTACACCTAATGTTTCCAAAATATAATCAAGTCTAAATAGTTAAATATCTAAAGATGATATTAAATATACAATAAAGTAGATTAAACTGTATAGCTAATCATTTGTGTATAATTTATATGAACTAAATATTATGATAAATTAAGAAAGAAAAGCTATTGAAATAATTTAGAATACATTAATGTAAAATAAATAATTTTTTAAAGATTAAAGTTTTAGCATATTAAATTTCTATAATATAAATGATCAAAGAATTGGAATAGCAATATGAATAGGAATATATAATTAACTAAAAAAAATTACCATTGTTTTTAATCTAAATATTCCACAAATTGTCAATATATTTAGATGAATTGAATTCCACAAATTTAATAACTGATACTTCAATAATTAGAATTCAAGAATGTTAATTTGATTAAAAATAGCTCCAATTAATATTAGCAAATTTTATTAATTATGTAGATAAATATATAATCTAATAAAAATCTATTAAACGAAAATTTAAAAAAATATTTGAATCAAAGGAAGTTAATTTATTTTTATAGGAGAGAATATCATAAAGAGATCAATCTTAGATAATAATGAATATATATAATTTCAATTTTGTTTAATAATTAGGAGGTGAATTTGTTGAGTATTATAATAAATACTTTATTCACTAAAAAGAACTGTCTTAAATTGACCTCAGACAAAATAGAATAGGGTTCAAGTAAACTATTATTAATAAAACAGTTATTAGCTCTATAATAGAAAAAAATTTTCTCATTAAACGCTTCAAAGGATACAGAAAATTTAAAAGAAGTACAATTATAGAATCAATAAAAAGATTACCAAAATAGTAAAGTTTTTTTGGAAAAAATAATACTTGAAAGAAGAACAATGTTATAAAAATTATACGATAAATTTGGGGTTAAAATAGAAACTGATATGCTCTAATTAAATTTTAATGAAATTTTAGTATCATTAGATGATGGAATTGATCTGATTTAGAAGTAAAATTGGTCTGAAATCTTTAGAAGCAAGCATATTAGGATATTTAAAGAAATTAAAAATTCCTTATAGATACTTGAATTGCTTGAAAAAAATTAATAGTCATTTATCATGGAACTCATATAACTTTTCAATAAACAGTTGGAAGAAATAAATCAAGAAGATTAATAAGAACAAAAAATTGCTTAGATTGAGATGTTAAATATGACAAATAATAACATTCAACAATTAAAAAAGCAATATCATATTTAAGATTGTATAACTTCAGAAAATCTTTTTAATTGGGATGAATCAATATCTTAAATTTAATAGCTGATTTAGAATTTCAAAAAAAATTTTTAAATAATTTAATAAAGAAATGAGAATATCTCACCAACTTAAGTTTCATTTCAGAAACCAATTGTAGAATTCGTTAAAGAAATATTCAATTAAAATTATTTTGAAATATATTCTAATTTGAGAATTAAATTGATTAACTTCTTAAGCAAGATAGCTGAATTGAAGTAGATTGTTTTTAATGAAAATTTTTTAACATCATTATTAGAGGAAGCTTGCCTTGATTAGAAAACAACCATATAATTTATATCTGAAGGTTCTTCTTTCCTATACTAAAAGAGTAATAATTCTAATTAAGAATTTATTATTGATAAAGCATATACTTTTATGCTCTAAAATTTAAACATAGAAAACAATGGCTAAGGAGATGGTTTTCTTGCAGAATCTTCATACAAAGTTAGAGAAGCAACAGTATTCAATTTAATTAAAATGTAATCATTTTTGCATGAACCTATAATTTAGGAATTTTGCTAATCACTCTTGAAACAGATATGGACAAATGAAAAACATGCTAGCGTAAGAGGTATTTTAAAAAATAAAGAGATGATTGAAATGTAGAAAAAACTATTTTCTTAAGATCTTGCAACATTTTCTAATAAATTAAAGTTAGAAATGCAGAAGAGGTTAAAGAGTATAGAACAATTAGACACTTAAGTTTTAATAAGTGATAATTAAGCATTAATGAAGAATTTATGAAGAATTTGAAAATTACTTAGATAATGTTACAGATATGTCATAAAGGATGGATATCAGTCTCATTTTTTTAAGAGAAATTAGTAAAGATCTAAAGTCAATTAAATCTTCAGTTGATTAAATACTTTAAAGTGTTAAAGGAATAGAAGATGATGTAAGAAGGTTAAGTGGTAAAAATTATATTGAATTATTATAAATTAGAAAAGAAAAAATATTGAAATAAAAATAGGAAGCAGAATTAGATTAAGTTCATATCTAGATTGCCAATTAAGAATATGACCCTATAACAGGAAAAAAGAAAGAAAGTATAAATGGAGTATTTACTTCATATTTATTGAAATCAAAATATAATAATTTTTAAGGAGAAATTAATGAATTTTTATGGTGTGAGAGTGAAAGCTAAAAAGATGTTGTGCTACTAAAAGGAAAAGCAGGTTCAGGCAAAAAGCAGAGCATCTAGAAATATAGAAGAATTTCTTTGGTTGAATGACACTATATTTCCTTAATGGATTCCAATTTATGTTTCATTACCATCTTTGAAAGATCCAACGCATAATTTATTAGAATAAGCTTTAGAATCTTAAAATTATAATTTTGATAAGATATAAATTAGAGAATTTAAAGAAGCTTTATTTAATGGAAATCTGAAAGTTATTTTTATTTTAGAGAGTTACGATGAGATGAAATTAGAATGTATTTAATCTAATTTATATTAAACAAATAAATTGGCATAAGATTTAAATCTTCAAATTCCAGGATAAAATGTAAAATTTATCATAACTACAAGAGAAGAAATTTTAACTTCAATTGGATATCAAACATGGTTTTATGG